TAGGGAAATCTTTACCACTGCCCTGGTGTGAAGAAACACAGCAAAGCAAACCACAGAACTCAAATTGAAGGCCAACCCCCACTTACTTGTTACAGCAATGTTGATCTCCCCTGACCGTGGGGTCAGTTCCCCATCCTGTGGAAGCTGTGACATGCCAGATGTGCGCAAAGGCTCAAGGCTGAGCGAACTGTCATTGGCAAAGTCACCAAGTGCTGATCGTCTGTTGGGTGGCTGGCCTCGGGTGAGCCTTTCCATGTCAAAAGCTATGTTATCTGTGCACGGCACATTTGGCTGAAAAACAATATTTCCACAATAAAATGCTAGACTTTCTACGTGTGGGTAGCTTGCAAAGTCACACATTTCCCCTTTATCCAAGATTTTTTGAGAATGCTTTCTAAATGAGAAAACACCAAACAATCTGTAACAGGCTCTCTATAGCAGACAGTTACCTCTTCACTTTCAAGCAGGAACCCTGAAGTGAAGCATATACAGGTGAGAGAGGTCCAGGGAATAAGATCGTGAGTCAGGAGAGAGTTGAATAGGCTATGCGCAACACCTAATTTACTCAACAGCAAGTTTACTCCCATCAACCATGAAACCATATTCTCTCTGCACTCTCCTTGCACAGAGAAGCTATAACAAAATGCTTGTCAAATCCTACCGTTTCTCCTTTAACAAACTTGGTTGCGTTATTAATCACAAAAACACCTGCCCACAATGTGCCACGTGCAGCTCTTTCTAGAAAGTGTCTCTGGTTTGCCTTTAAAAGGGCTAGAAATATAGGCCCAATTTCTTCTTTGTCATGCTTGACTTGATAGCTGCTGTAGACATGGAATGAAATTTCTCCTTACCCTTACATCTCTTGCTATGCCCTTTCTCATCTTCTTTATTAATCCCTGTGACAAAAGCATTCACCTCTGTGCTCCCCAGACAGGAACAGTGGCAGAAAGGTCTTTTGGGAGGCCACCGTCAGAGAGGATGTGGGGCTATATGGACCTGTGGACTGATGCACTACAAGAGGGCTCATGTGACAGCATTCCAGTATGTAAATGTTAAGGGGAAAAGCAATCAACTGGTCACTTTGCCCACCGGAGTAAGAGACAAAGAAACTGGTTTGATTTTCAGTGAAATACATTTAGGTTATGTATCAGGAAAACATTTCTAACGATAATAGTGAAGCACTGGATCAGGCCAGGTAGGGAGACGGTGGAATCTCCCTCCCCAGAAGTTTTTCACAACAGATCAGTGATGGGCTAGGACTGTGACCCTGAGATCCCTTCCACCCCTGCATTTCTGTGATCCTGTAAAACTTGAATGAAATGAAGGTCACAACTATGTAACTTACCACAATTCCCAGTGCCTTCAAAATGTTCAGTTTACACATGGGACAGGTACAGTGCTCACTTAGCCAAGGATCTACACAGGCTTTGTGGAAAACATGCCTGGAAAAAAGTAGATAGAGACAAGATTATAAGCAAACCTGAAGAGAGATTTGTATAGTATGTATGACCCAGTTAAGTAGAAACAGTGAAGAAGTCTGCTATAAAAACTAAAGATGACAAAAATACCCATCGACCATCTAACAGACCCCATGGTCAGGTACAGACATTACACTTTTACTGGTATAAGAGTGATCAGAAACTGGTCTATACTCGTAACAGAAGTTCAGCACACCAGGCCAGTCTATACCCGTGACAGAACAGAAGTTAGGCACACAGAGAATGGCTCAAAAATGGTGGAACCCAGTCTAAGATTTGCCGCCCCACCAAAGAGCAAACGTGTGTTCTGTTTGCTCCTGATCTAAACTATGCTGCTTACAGAAAACTGCGCAACTTAGATTGATTCTGCCTCAGGCTTTTTGAATGTCTGCACCTACAATAAATCGACAGATGGGCTGTGCTGCTTGGACCAAAGAAATCTGATCTGGCTTAGAAACATGGAGTTGAGAGCGGACCTCAAGAACCATCTAGTCCAGTGTGGGGCCAACCTTTTTGGCAGGTGTGCTACAAATTAGCCCTACACTCTGAGTGCAACTCTGATCCCCTTCCCCAAGCTGCTGCTCCCTGCCAAATCTGCTTTGCACTACTTGTCCCCTACCTGATCTGCTGCACAACACCCCCCACACACAAACACACAGGCTGTGTGGCACATGTAGCTCAGGCTGGTCATCCTCATCTAGTTCACCCCTTCCCAGACCAGCCCAGAGACTATTTTAAGAAGCTCCACTGAAGGGTTCCACAACCTCCATACACAGAGTTTTTTCCATTGTACTACAGCTCTTAAGACTTTCCTGAGATTTAACTCAAGTCTCTTCTGACACAGTTTAAACCAACTGCTTTGTGTTATGCTCTCTATACCTCCACTGTTGGATCTTGGCCATTTTTTCCCCCAGTGGTAGCCATTCAAATATCTGAAAACTGCTCCATGCGTCTCCCCACCTGCCTTCAGCCTCCCCTTTTTCCAAAATAAGTTTTCCTAGTTTCTTGCTTTCCAAACCCATTACCTTTGCCATTTGTACTTGGGTCTTCTCCAGTTTCTCTACATCCTTCCTAAAAAGCAGTCCTCCCACACTGGGTACAGTACTCCAAGTGAGGCCATAGAAATCACTAATCTTGGATATCTGTCACCCAAGGAACCTTGTCTACTCTTGGATATGGCTCTCTCTGCTTAGTGACTAGATGATGACCAAACCAAACCCCAAGCCCCCTGCTCAAAATGCAGCATCTCTTCCAGTACAATTATATCTACCTTGTTGGCAGGCAAGGTATATTGGTTTGGCTGGAGCACCACACTCATGCAACTACACTGCTTTTGGTATCCAAACTAATTTGGGTATCTCTGCATGTCACGTCATTGTGTTGTCAGCACACTCTAGGGCTCTTCCAAGACCCTGCTCCCAATGAAGCAGTGAGAGCAGTGTCATTAGAAGTCAAATTTATCTTTAAGAAAGAACAGATATATAAAGTAATTTTAAGTAAACCAAACACACCAGAGCTTATTTTTTACCGGCTTTTGTCACTGTCAAAAGGTATGTAAAAATACCTTCTGAGAATTGGAAAGGACAAGTCAACTACTACTGCATTATAAACAGATCTTCTGAAGACAAAAAAGCAAAATGGGCTTCTACTTGCACAGCAGGGAAAGCTGCATTGGATGATGGATCTGAATGGCTTGCAGAAGTTTATTTTCAGATCTATTAAAATAAGGGTCACAGCACTGGTTTAATGTAATGATAGGAGTGGAAAAGGATGCTAATAACACACTTAAGCAAAGGGGTGCCCTTGGCCTTACCTGTGGCACATTTCTGACTGTGTAGGCGTGGCACGAATTGGTACCAGCAGCTTTTCTACCTTGTACAGCACTGTCACGAACTAAAAACAATCTACTCCAATCTATTCCTTTCACAAGTCCCCATGTTTAGAAAGGAGGTAATTCTTTTCTAGCTGCTCTGACTGCCGAAGTCAAGCTACTAATGTTAACAGGTCTGATTTTGAATGAACACAGACGGATGAAGTGAGAATTGCTGCTAATTGAGAAGCAGCTTTGTTCTGACATGTCAGCGAGGGAAGAGGTAGCAGCTCATGCAAGATGATCTGGCTATTACACAACCCACAGAGGTCTGGGCTGGCTCCCAGAGCTACTCAGAAAAAAGGGGAGCAGGAACAGAAGACATTTGCCTCCTTCAGGTTGTACTTGTGTCACATGGGACTAGACTCGGCATGGAATTTGGGCCTATATTAAAAAGAGACGGACTGTTCTTGATTTCAGATTCTCCTTCCCTACCGAGGGAAAATTTTAAAAAGTGGATTACAAGATGTGTCACTAGGAAGCTACCTTGCAAGACTCCCAGCAAGTCATGCTAGTAATCTACCCCAGAAGCCATTACTAAAAAAAAAAGGAAGTACATGTGATAGTAATCTTTCTTGTGTTGATAGCATGAGTGTCAGGGGTTACAGTTCATCACTAGCATTAATTTCCAGCTTACTACATGTGTGCAAACCACCAGACTTAAGCAAAGGTGCACATGTACAAGTAAGGGCCTAAACTGATGTGCAGAAAATTAACAAAAGGGAAGATTTTAGCCTGATATTTCCAGACAAGGTTGAATTTGCAGGAGAGAAAGAAAGAGAAGGGGAAGGAGAAAGAAAGAAAGAACATTCCTGATATATGATCAAAGACAGACATATGAAAGCTTGTAATATTACTTGCAGTCAATTTTCAGAACAAAGCCATAGTTTCTGTATTCATGGGCTGGTGTGCTACACGGCATGGAGAGCTGAGCTAAAGATAGTTGGTATGTACGGTATTTTGAAGGTATGAGACTTCTATTTCCTTGGTGAAACAGTGTCTCTCCTCATCAGCTTGCCTGGTCTCTCTACTTCCCTCTCTAGCATTCTTAATAAGGCAATGTACACTGAAGAAACATCCATGCAAAAAAAAACAGGATGTTTCTTGCTCAGCTTAAGAGTACTGTATTTAAAAAAAAATGCTTGTTTCTGATGTTGTTAGCTATTAACCTTTTCTGTTTATCACTTGTGGGAGCACAGAAAATGCTGTTCAGCAGTCCTTTGGGGGTAGGAATTGACTTGCAATCCAGTAGTACACAATTACGTTACTGTGGCATCTTAGACAATTTATTGCTGTTAAGTCACTTACATTTCTTTTTAAAACTCCACAGTTGGGTTTTTAGAGTGGGGCATACATTCCTAACAATCTAATATTTTGGGGAAACGGCAGACATCAAGACATCAGTATGAAAACAGATTTAATGTCGTTACCAGCTGATTGGTGCTTAGTGCTATAAAAGCACGCAGATTAGCTCAGGCACCGTGTGATATGAATTCCAATGCGTACCTAGCAAATGGTATATGATTGTATTCGTAGCCTGATAAGATTAAAAACACCAGAGCACCTGAACTCCTTTTCTGACCTCTTTGCTAATTGTTCTGAAACCTTCTCAGCTCTGGGGACCTTTATCAATATTTTCCAGAAATCACAGTCCGACAAAAGCCTTTATTTATATTAATCAATAGGGGGTTGCTGTTTTTTTTCCCTCTCCCTAAACATATCTTGCTGGCATTGATGCTATGGATCAGGCTCTGCTTTGGGTTTTGCTTAATTGAAGAGCAGATACAAAATGACAGTGATAATGACAAAGGCATAGTTTGTAAAGGTCGGCATGAATGAGAGTTTTTGTGCTTTTTACCATCAAAAAAAAGAAAAGAAAAGGAAAGTATGTTTCTTCCTGTCCTCCTGTAAGCTAACATGCAGCGTTCCCAAGCCATGAACAGGAGCAGTCCCTGGCAGCTCTTCTACCACATGCTGATTAGAGTCCACCAGCAACCAGATGCTGGCAGGGAAAAGCTGAGTGCCCCGTGCTCCAACTCATCAGGTCTGCAGCAGTAGAGGCTCTCCCCATGCTGATGGTTTCTACTCCTAAAACATACCTAAGCTTCTGTGAGTGCATATACAAACAGAGACCCGTTTGCATCCTACAATGTGGTTTCTTTATGCCATTCCAGAGAGAGAAGACAGCCGGAGTAGTCTTTGTCATGATTCCCTTCCTTCCATTTTCCCAGCAAAGGCTCAAAACACGTATGCACCCATTCTACTGGATCGACTTGGTTTCAACCTTACGTTAGTTTTTAAATGAATTGAGCTACCTCTTGTTTGCTCTTTCATCCCACTCCTTTCTTGTTTTTCTGTAAGCTGTTTCCTGTCCATTCTTCTCGTCCTCCTGATGCATTTAGTTCTTTCCACTCCCCCACCTCCCAAACTGCACAAGCTAAAGACGCTCCTTTTCCCTTCCGTACTTTTCTCTAACTTGCTTCTTTACTTCTTTTCTTTCCCCATTACTCAGCATTCCCTACTATCTCAGTTTGACCTCCTCTGCTGCTTCCTCCCTGCTCGCTCTGGCTTCCCTCTTCCTCCTATTCCAGAGCTATAAACAGGAAAATGGAATGGAAGCTGTTTTTTGTAGAAAAGTTATTCAAGAGTCTTGTCTTTTCTTCCTGATATATATATTTACTTATATAAATATGACACGGGCAAGAGAACAGTTCTAGCCAAATGCTCCCCAGGCTAAGATGTCTAAAAAATGACCAGGGTTCCCTGTTTTGAGTTAGGCTGGGTAGATCTGGCAGTTGTCCCATCTCATCAAAGCACAAAGAGCAAGCAGCCACGTTTGCCAGCAGCTCTTGGTACTGAACACAACTCAACTCGGAGGCAGAACAGGCTGTATAGAATACATTCAATATAACAGGATGCACACGAGGGATACTGTCCTCTTGCTACTGGTCATTTTCAGTAATTGGAAAGAAGATTTTTTTTGAGTTTACTTAAATCTGCCACAGAATTTCCCATCTGTCACAAAACTCAGCACTAGAGTGCATGCCAGAAACCTGGAGTCTTGCCACAGACTTGGATCCAACTTACTGCCGAGTGCACAGGGTTCTGCTTATTGCGCAT